CTGGAGGAAGATTAACCTGGAGCTAACATCTGTGCCAATCTTCCTCTATCTTGTTTGTGGGTCACCTTTAAAACTACAGTAACCAAGGCAGCTTTTCATTGGTGCAAATTTAGATAAATAGACAAATGGAATATAATAGAAGCTAGAAATAGACCTACACATATATGGTCACCTGATTTTTGACAAAGACAACACTACAATTCAGTGGGGAAAATGGTCTCTTAACAAATGGTGCCAGATCAATTGGATATCCATATAGGAAAAAAAAAAAACCTTTGACCTTTATCTCGCACTTCACACAAAAATTAATTTGAGATGAATCATTGACCTAAATGAGAAAGCAAAAACATCAAACTTCTAGAAGAAAACAGAGGAGAATATCTTCAAGATCTTGGAAGAGACAAAGATTTCTTAAATGGGACACACAAAAAACACTAACCATAAAACAGATTGATAAATTAGACTTGATTATAGTTAAGAACTTCTGTTCATAAAAAGACATCAGTAAGAGAATGAAAAGGGAAGCCAGAGACTGGGAGAAGTTCTTTGCAATGCTTCTCTTTGACAAAGGATTTGTGTACAGAATATATTTTTAGTCCCATAAATCAATAAAAAAAGATACACAGCACAATTTTTAAAATAGGCAAAAGACTCAGACACTTCACAAAATGGGGTAACAAAATGGCCAATAAATTCACAAAAAGTTTCTCAACATCATTAGTCATTAGAGAAATGCAAATTAAACCCATAATGAGATACTACTACACATCACCAGAATGGTTAAAATTAAAAAGACTGATAATACCAAGTGTCAGTAAGGATGTGGAGCAACTGGAACTCCATCTTACTAGAAAGAGTTTAAACCGGTAAACCATTTTGGAAAAAAAATGCTTGGCAGATCCTACTAAAGCTAAACATTCCTACTGTTTAACTCAGCAATTCTACTCCTGAGTATACACTCAATAAAAATGAGTGCTTATGTCTATCAAAAGACATGTATACGAACGTTAATAGTATCTCTATTTGAAATAGCCCCAAATGGAAACAATGCAAATATCCATCAATAGCAGAATGAATAAATTGTGGTATATTGCCACAGTGGAATATTACACATTAGTGAAAAAGCATGAAGTATGATGCATGCAACAATATGTTAAACTTCAAAGACATAATGTTGAGTAAAACAGGTCAGGTACAAATGAGTACCTACTGTATAATACCATCTAGATGAAGTTCAAAACCAGGCAAAACGAATCTATGGGGATAGGAGTCAGAATAGTGGCTACCTGGAGGGGTGCTGACTGGGCAGGGGAGCTTTGTGGGGAGCTGGAAATGTTCTATATCATGTTCTGGGAGGTATTACATGGGCATATACATATGTAAAATTTCACTGAGCTATATACATATATACACATGTATAGAGTTCACTTAGGATGTCTACACTTTATTACATCTAAGTTATACCTCAATAGAACGATAATAAGTAAGATACTCCTTTACCAAAAAAAAAAATATGAATTAGCCAGATCCGAATGGTGGAGTAGGGTGAGTTGGGAAGGTAAGAGAGGACATCACAGGGAGAGGGAACAGCATGTGCAAAGAAGGTCTGGAGCACGGAAACACTGAAATAATGCAATTTGGCTGAGTGTTGAGCACAAGGAAACAGGTTGGGGAAGTGGAAGAGGAGGTTGGGAGGGTAGGCAGAGGCCAGACTGGGAGAGGGCAGTGTAGGACATTTATCGCCAGTGTTCCTGTGGTCCCTTGACTCGGCCAGAGCTTCTAAGAAGGCCCAGCAGAGGCCTAGCCCTTTCCATCTCAGGAAGGAAGGCAGGCCTTGCCTTCTGTCAGCTAAAAACCAACCAAGGGAGGAGAATGGCAACTAACAGTAAACGTGCACGAGGCATCTTATTGGGGTGATGAAAATGTTCTAAAACTGATTTGTAGTGATGGCTGCACAACTTGGTAAATTTACTTTAAAAAACCACTGAATTGTACACTTGAGTGAATTATATGATATGTAAAATATGACCCAGTAAAGTTATTTTTAAAAATTAGAGGTGGATCCTTCCCTCCTCTCAATTGTCTCCCCCCAGAGGAGTCCCTGGGGTCTTTCTGCCCTCTGCCTCCTCTTGGTCTCACTCTCACCTCCCTTTGCCCCACCACTGCCTGTGTTTTAGCTCGTGGGCATGCTCACATCCAACCCCAGAGACAGCCCAACACCTCTCCAAGCAGCCGGGCACAGAGGCACTGCCCCCGTTGATGAGACACCGAGGCCTGAGAGGGGATAGAGGGGGCAGCTATTGGTCCCGGGTGCCTGCCACCTGTGCTGTCACACAACCGGGAGAAGGAGGGCTTGTTCATTCCCATTTCACAGGTGAGAAGATGGAGGGCCTGCAAAATGGAAGGCTCAAGGCTTCATAGTCAGGGGCAGAGCCTGTGCAGCTTGGGACCCGCCAGGACAAGAAGTCAAGCCACTGGAAATGGGGCGTCTACACGGGAGGGCCGGTCCAGGCGGCCGGCGGAGAGGAGGGGCCGCTGGTGGAGGGGCTGGCGGGCGGAGCGCCCACTCACCACTTCTGGCCGCTGATGGCGTGCTGCTGCACCGTGTAGCCGAAGAAGGCTGTCCTGGAGCCAGGGATGACGCGCGGCTTCCTGGTGTCCACGTTGAAGGTGTCCGTGAACCCTGGGGCGGGAGAGGAGAGGAGAGGTGAGGAGGGGAGTCAGGCAGGCGGAGGTGTGGGCCCCAGGAGTGTGAGGGCCCCACGGGCAGGTCACCTACCTCCGAGGGTCTTGGCTGCAGGAGGAGTACGTTCTCCTACCCTTGGGGAGCCCCCATATGAGGTGGTTGCCATAGTCCCTGCTTGGGGGAGCCATAATCTGATAGGGGAGGCATAAAACCTACTCTTAGGGAGACCCAGTCTGGATGGGAAGCCCAGTCCCTCCCCCAGAGAACTTCCTGTCTCCCAGGGGAGAGACAGCTCCCTTCCTCCTCCATTGCTCCTTCCCCCAGATTCTGCTGGTCTCCTCTTCTGTTTTCTCCTCTCTTTTCCCTCCTCTCTCCTTCTCTCCCTCCTCCCTCTCCTCTCTTCTCTATTCTCTGCCTGCTAACGAGTCAGGGAACTGAGCCCCCCTCTCCCCTGCAAGCCTGGGGTCCTAGTGGCCACGGCTCCAGTGCTCCTGGCTGACCACCTCCTTCTGAGCCAGTTTGCAAAGCTCTGCCTGGCTTCAGCAGGGGCTGCTGCTTGGCTGAGGCAGCTCAGGCAAAGCAGAGAGCAAGTCCCATAACTCTTTCGCCCCGGCCCCCAAGGTCTTCCCTGTTTGGTTAAGTCACATGCCAATTAAGTGAGTCCACCTGGCGGAGAGCCTTGGTGTTAAGCCAAATGCTTTTCCCATTTGTCATTCTTGTGGCAAATCACGAGAAGTAACATCTCACATCCGCATGGCAGTTTGGGTTTCGGGGTCTCCTCAAATCTGCCATCATTTACCCTCACAGGACCTTGGGAGAATGAGCAAGCATCAACCCCATTTGGCAGAGGACGATTCAGCCCCAGAGGGGTTTAGAGGCTTGTCCAGGGATACACAGCAGGTCAGCAGCAGTGTCAGAACTGGACCTGGGATGCCTGCTATGTGACGCCCTCCCTCCATGAGGCGTTTTCAGGGCATGTCTGGTCTCGTGACACATCACTACTAACAGGACCACCAAACTCGGGACCCATGAGATTTAAGGGGTGGGATCCTACCACAAGCCAAAACTTTCAGATGAGTGAAAACCAACCAGCAGAATAGAACAGAATCGACGGAAGACCACTGTCGCCCCTTTCATGTGTAGGGCACTGTATAAATTTCAAAGAACATTCCCACGTGTGTTATCAGTCGATCTCCATGACAACCCTGTGATGTGAGCAGCAAAGGGAAAGCCACGGGTCAGAGAGGTGAACTGAGCTGCCCGAGTCCCAGAGCCTGCGGAGAGGGACCTGAATCTGAGGCACTGACCCCCTGGTCTGAGTGTTCAAGGGTGAGGCCCTGGGGCACCTACCTGAATAAGACCTGCTGCACAGGAAGCAGTGGTTTCTTTCACATCTCCTTTTTTGCTTAGCCAGTGGATACAGTGGCCAAAAGTTCTATCATTAGAGTCACAGAATGAGAGTCCCGAGAGGTAAAACTTTGGAACACCTTAGAGTTGGGATGTTTGATATGTGTTATCTCACTTACCCATGTCAATTGATTATTTGTGCTGCCTGGAGCACTGAGTTAAGAAAGATTCTGAGGTCAAGTCTGGGCTCAGTAGGCAAGACTAGTATGATCAATGAGCAGTATTTGCTTTGGGTACAGGAGGGGAGAGTGGCAGCAGTGGCTATGTAGCTGCCAACCCTGACTTCATGATTCCTAATCTGCCACATGAATTTAGTGTCATAGTCCTGAGTGGGAGTGGGGGAAGAGGAGTACATTAATCCATTAGTGCCTTATTTACAAAGCCCAGACCGTGAATAGACTTAGCCTAGAAAGCAGCAGGTAGCCTTGGGGAACAGGACCATGGTCAGGTGAGCACAGGGGACGAAGGAGCACAGGACCCTGGCTAGTGAGGGCATGTCACAGAGGAGAGAGGGATGCCAGTGTCACCCGTGCAGAGCTGGGAGGTGGGCAGAGAGGGGTCAAAAAAGTGGAGTTGCAGACGAGAAATTCTCTCTCCAAGTCTGTCTTGGGAAAGAACACACACACTCAGGCATGCACACACACACACAGAAATGTACACACGGGCATGCATGCATGTAGACACAATACACACATGGACACATACACGCATGCACACACATGCACAGGCCTCACACTCCCTGATTGTGGGGCAACACTTTATCTGGCTCCCTGGTGCCCCCTGGAGACTCCCCCTGGCGGTCCCTTGTCCTCCCCTTCCTGCACGGCAGGGGGGAGGTGGCCCTGAACAAGAGGAAGGCATGCTCTGGCTGTCAGGAAATCCAGAGCCACCCACCACTCCCAGGCCTACATGGGAGTGAGGGCCGGTGAAGATGAGGCCATAAATTGTGTCTTCAGAGCATTCCCACTACCAGTGCTTCTTGAATGAACATGGCCAGAGGGATCCTTCCAAGACCTGTCAGATCCCATCACTCCCCAGCTACACACTCTCCATCAGTTTCCCACCCCACTCACGGTCAAAGCCAAACTCCTCACCTGCAAGGCCCTGCGTGATCCCACCGCGTTCCCTCTGCCCCTCATCTCCTGGCCTCCCCCTGCATCCCTCTGCTGCAGCCACACTGTGTCAGACCCGTTCTCTGCTCAGTGTCTTTGCCCGGGCTGTTCCCTCTGCCTGGAATGCTCTTCCCCTCGTTATCCACATGGCTCACTTCCCAAGTCATGAGGGTCTCTGTTTCAGTGCCATCTTGTCCATTACCAGGTCACCCTGTCACTCTCTCCCTTATTCTCCATTTTTCCTCATAGCTCTTATCACAAATATATTACATATTGATCTGTTTATTCTTATGTGGCTGATATTTTGCAATATTCTTAAGTTCTCTAAGTGCCACAGGACACTGCTATATCCTTACAGTTGTATCCTTAGTGCCTTGAATACAGATCTGGCTCATAGTTAGTGCTCAATAGATATTGCTTGATTGAATGGTTAGAGACCAGATTCGCATTTGGCTAGGATGCTATCTTCCCCCGACAAGGAAAAGGAGAAAAAAAAGAATATTTACTGAGCACTGATATATTCCAGGCACTATTCTAGGTATCTAACAATTAATTTTACATTAAATAGATAAATCTCACACCAACCCTGTGAGATAGATATTATCGTACCTCTGGGAGGTTAAATAATTTGCCCCATATCACTCAGCTGGGAGATTGGAGCAAGTCCATGATCAGATAGCTTGGGGCACTGGGGTGATGTGACCCCTGGGAGATTAGCCTTTCATAAGAAGGACCCACTAGGGGGAGGGAGTATTCTTTTCAGAGAAGGGGGTCTCCCCCACCTCCCTGCCCTCAGGTCCCAGCTCCTCTGCCTTTGGGTCGGTTGAGAGAAGCAAATGGGAGAGAAGGCAGGCTGCCCCCACCCTGTGCCCCTTCCCTCCCTTGGGGCTATGTCTAGGATATACTAGTCCCATCGTCCCCAGCACCCCCACCCCCAACCTCCCGGGACAGGATTAGTGAAATCTGGCCACAGGGAAGATGCCAAAAGCCCTCAGGCCAGGGAATTAAGCTACAAAGTGCTGGTTTCTTCCCCTAGTCGGCATTTGCTTCTGACCAAACCGAACCAACCAGAGAATGGATTTTCTAAAAGTGATGTCAAGTCCAACACTCTGACCTTGGCTCCCAAAGAGATCTCTGGCCCGCTCTTCTGATGGCGATGGCTTTCATGCTTGGAGAATGCACTCCTCTCAGAGATTTATGAACCCCAAATACCAACAAAACAAAACAAAGTTGTTTTTGATGGGAATCAACAGGCCGATTGCAGAGACACTGGGAGCCTGGTTGGGCAGCCTGCCACTTTTCTGTCCTTGATATTGATGACAGAGGGGGAAAAACCCACAGTTGCCGGGCTGCTTTCCTGGGGACTGTGGCCAAGGTTACATCAGCTGCTGCCCTCTTCTCAGAATCTTATCTGTCTTTTCAAAAAGCATCAGTCAGTCCCAACAAGGCACCAAAACGACAGCAGCGGAGCTTGAGCAGTTGGAGCGGTGGAGAACTGGGGCTCACAGTTCTCCAACCCCATCACTCCAGGCTAAGGTGGAGGCCCCGCCCTGTCACCAGGTGGGGCAGTCGCAGTCCCAAATGCTGAGGTGCCGGCCAACACATGTCTAGGGCCGCCGTCAACTCGACAACTCCGCAGCACCCTGGGGAGTGCTCCCTCTAGCTTAGGGAGCGTCTGTGGAGCGTCCACACTGTGCTTCTCCACCCTCCCCTCCCCCAGCTCCTGCTCCCCCACCTCCCATCCCCCTCAGCTGCCAAATAGCTTCCCATGGATCTTGGAAGAAAGTCCAAAATCTCCATGCAGCCCCAAGTCCCTCTGGGCCCCCCAGCCTCATCTTGTGCACGTTTTCCTCCGGCTCCCTGTGGTCCAGGCACCAGGGCCCTTTTCTGCTCCCCAGCTGCACCTTGCTTCCTCCTGCCTTGAGGCCTTTGCACCTGCCGTGTCCTCTGCCTGAGCCTCTCTGATGAATTCTCATCACCTTCACATCTCAGCAAAAATGTCACTTCCTTCCCCCCGCCCCCAGGAAGCCTCCCCGACCCCTGATTACACCAGATCTTGCCTACTGAGTTCATCACCCCTCACGCCTCACTAACAGGTGACTGGTGACGTCTTTTTCTTATCACAGTTAGTAATTACACACAACAGGTCTGATCATTCGATTACTCCTGTCTGCCCCTGGAAATGGCACGGAGAGTAAGTGCCATGCTGGAAGCAGAGGGGTGGTTGTTAGAGAAAGGAGGGATGGCTGTGCGCAGGGGTGTCAGGAAGCTTCTGGAGGTGTGACCCTGGCCTTGAAGGGCGATGCGTAGGAATGATGAGGTGGCCTAAAGATGGTAGGCAGGAATTCTCAGTGTGCATGTGGGGCCAGGGAAGGAGAAGAGACAGCCTGCCTGGGTGGAGATGTCAGGAGTAGCCGGCTCCTCCTGCCCTCCTGCTGGGTTCCTTGGGGTGAGGCCAGGCATGGAGGGAGCGTGGCC